TATATATAATTTTTTAAAAACTTTACTTATTGAAAAAAATCAAAATGGTCCATGACACATGAAAAATACATGAAATTCAAGCAATAAAGTTCATACATAAAAATTTTATTAGAACAGACACATTTGTTTACATGTCGTCTATCAAGGCCTTTTGTGTTACAAGAGTACAACGGAGTTGAGAAGTTGTGATAGTAACCGTATGGTTGGCAATTCTTAAGTTATTTCCTACCTGGGCTTTTATAGAAAGTGTGCTGACCCGTTCTATAGCATTCACGCACGATTAGTTTCTGGATTTTTTTTTTCCTATGAAATTCTGGAAAAAAATTTTTTTTAAACTTCTTTTTCCAGAAAGAACACTAAGGGAGTCTTCCCCTGAAAAAATGTTGACAGCCTTTGATGATTTGAAATGACATTAGGCTCTGCCCGCCCCCTCCCTCCCTCGTTTCAAAATACCTCCGTTACCTCCAGGGTGGTGAGGCCGGTCTTGCGATCACTGGTCCCGCGACTCATCCTGACTGTATCAGGTTGTTTCACAACATTATGAATTCACCCAGCCTTCCTGAATCTTTTATAGGGATTTTCATTTTCACTCTCAAACTCTTACCCACTTTCTCTGCTGTCAAAATTTTAACATTAAGCTCAGACTACTACATGGCCTACACATGTCAAATAAAGTCCATACTTTAAAAAAAACTTTAAATCAGAATTTTAAAAAATTCCTTTCTCTTGAGAAGCTAAACTTAATTTTCTAGGTCACAGAAGTAAGAAAATACCATCACATCCAACGATCTCAAAGCACCTCTAGTGAAAACACATAACAAGGTAAAAGATGTGTATTTATTTTTAAAAACTACTGTAGTTCTTGGAGGAAATAGTATTTAATGGAAAAGATGTGACTAGGAACGAAGCAAGTCTAAAGGCTATTTCTGGTCCCGCTAGTGACTCACTTTGACTTTGGGCAAATCATCTCACCACTGTTGCTCTTTATTTGCAAAAACTGGACTCCATGCCTATGGGAGTTGCATGGCTAATCAATGCCTGGAAAATGCGTAGTGGCAGATGCTACAAAAGTGCTGAGCCTTAAAAACAAAACCACCCCCACCCCCCATTTGTATTCAGTTGAGGTTTGGGTTTATTGTTATTTAACATTCGAAGGCCAACACTATGTTAAGTCCAGCGTGCTGCACAGAACAGATAATATCACTGTCCAGATGGGATTTTTTTTAGATCTAGGATTTTTGACTTTTAAAAAAATTATAGTTATTTTAGAACCCAGTAATACATCCGTGCAAAAACGTTAAGCTTTAAGTTGAAAACTACTGATTAAAAAATCTAGCTAAACCCCCTCCAAAAAAGAGGCCCTTCCCGCCCCGCCAAGAAATCTCTCAAAACAAGAATTCTTCAGATTTTTCCCCCCTCTCCCTGCAGTTCTCCATGTTACAGTCCTCGGAGGTAGAATAGGCATAAAATACTTTCGCTAATAAAATATGACAAACCGCCGGATTATACGTGGCCGATTCCCAGTGACTGCCCTGCTACACAAAGCAGAAAAGTAAATGCCATCATTCCCCTTAGAACAAAAGAACTTAGGAATAAAAACATGGAGAGGGGGGCAGAAAGCAGCAATAAATAAAGGTGAGCCAAGGGCCCCGGCCCCCGCCCCTCCCAGAAGCGAGTGTGGACTAAGTGCGGCTAATAAAGTGGTTCAAGGGTAGTTATTTGGAAAGGGGGCGGGGTGGCGAGGGGAGGGAGCGGGCGAGCGAGCGCGGCCGGGGATTGCATGTTGCATTCGACTTGAGGCTGCATCTTTCTCCTGTTGCCTGGACCACGCTCCCTCATTGCAGTGCTTCCCCATCGCTGCTCCTCGCTCGTGCCCTCGCGGCTTGTTTTCTCCCCTTCCAACTGCTGTTGCATCGGAGGGAGTTGGGGCCGCTCCGGAGCCCCCCGTGCA